GAGAGAGAGAGAGAGAGAGAGAGAGAGAGAGAGAGAGAGAGAGAGAGAAAAATGAAAACAACAATAATGAGTTTATTTTTATTGTTGTATTTCAGATGTTGACTAGAGCAGAAGCTGCTTTGATTTATTCGAACGAAGAGCGCGGCAGCGCTTCACAACCGGAGATAAAATAAATGGCGAAAACTTGAACGATTGAGGCGATGCGATAAAAATTTACACTATTTTTTCTGTTTTTGTTGCTTTGAATTGTAATCAAATTTTCATCTTTTTTAATTCAGTTTGAATCGCACCGAAAGAAGGGATAGGAAAAAAAGAAGAAGAGAAAAAGCGGTGACAGTGAAGCAGTAGAAATGACATTATCTTTTGTCGCTATGTTGCAAATCACTTGAAGATACAAAATTAATTATCATTTCAAAATTGCGCGCAACCATCGAAATGGTTCTTTCTTTCGACTGCTTCGGTTAAATCATTTTCAGTTAGCTGCCATTACTTGAAAGTTATTAAAATCAAAATGAGAAGCAAATAAGACTAAGTTACAATCAAATCAAATGGATGGCAACTCCATCCAAAACTTCTGCAGAATGTGTATACTTCGGTGCAAGTGGCTCATTAGATATCTTTCTAGATGTTTACTTGTTTTACGCACTCGACAATACATGTAGTGCGGCTCCCCTACTTGAGTTTTTCAGTGTCGACGCATTAATTTGTGAAATGAGAGACGAAACGCTTTGATATGCATCCGAGATTTGCTCCATATGCTGCACTAGTGTGAATCAAGTTATTATATACTGAGAAAAGCCATCATCACAACACTGGTGGCTGGTTTTTTTTGTTTTGTTTTTCTACTCCTTCTGCTTTTTTCGTCGGTTGAATTTATTCCGCACCCAACGATGAAACCAAATACATTCCACATATAAATTATTCAACAGTCAGACAGAAATACTGTTATCTCATGAAATAGTATATGATCCACGTGCGGGATGCTCCTGCTGCTGTTGCTGCAGACGCGATTCTGTAAAATATTCATCGACCATTGAGTGAGCTTCTGGTGGCGGTAATATAAATAAAATATTTAAACTACCGTCCAACCACTTTTGCTGATTTTTTTTTTTCGCCGTCCGACCAATGGGTATTAACAATTATATTTCATCGCCTGTATCTCTCTCTCGGTGTTTGGAATAAAATCGCATTTTTCACAATTCCATGAATACTTTACATGTTTGCTCCAAGTGCCGCCAGTTGCAAAATAATTGAAATAAAATCATTTCAAAAGTGGTTTTCATTTGAATTTTTCCGAAAATGATTTCATTCAAGTGATTGAAAGCAGGGATCGAAACCAAACCATTCGGAACGTTCTGAAAAATGGTTTGTAAGGCACACAGAAATGTTTATGCTTACGTGTATCAGTATACAATACTAACACAGTGACAACACGGTTGAACGTTGCTCATACAAACCATTCTCAGAACGTTCCCCTTGATACGATTTGCTCCGATAAACAGAGAGCAAAGCAGTGATACCGTTCCGAAATCGGTTCGTATGATCGTTTTCGATCCCTGATTGAAAGCCAATTAACATTTGAGCAAAGCTCAACTCAACTCAAATTATAAAGTTTGATATGTTTTTTTTTCGGACTTTGTCAAGGTGTGTGGCACGTCATGTTTTTAAAAATGTGGCTTTTCTCCTGCAGTAACGAAATGACACAATTTCGATTGATTCTCTGGAATCTGAAATCGCTACTTTTCAACATTGAATATCGACTACATCATGTCTGTTAAATTGAGACGTTTCCCCAAAACAATCCCATTTTGCTGTTGCTTTGGTTGGTGTTTTTTTATTATGCATGAGTCGACTCGGTTATACTTTCTATCGCCCATAAAACGATTCAAGTCCCATGAAAATAACTCAATCTAACATATTATTTGAATTTAAAGTAGTTTCTTCTTTTTTTTGTTTATTTATTATGATAACAGCGACAATTGCAAAACAGCTTGACATTGTCCGTATCTACAGTTTTAGAGAAGCGGAAAGCACAAAGGTTTTTTTTCTATTGTTTTTTGTTGTTGTAGTTTTTCAGAGTATTCAAGCTTCAGGAATGAGTGAATTAAATGGCAACGAGCCCGATGAAGGGATGTGAGTGTCAGTAGTTTCGAAAATATTATGGCTATCAAAATCATTTAAAGGGAAAGGCAAATCAACTCACTTTTCAAATAGTCGTCCGAAAAGAAGACATTTTCGAGAGTGAAAAAAGTGCGGTTATTTATGTATGACCGAACAAACGAATATTCCGTTACTATAACATACATTATTCATACATATTTAACATGGCTTTTGTATGTGATCCTGTATCGTTTATAGTTCGGCTCGGATCCCTGACAATGATGATGATGATGACAGCAACGCGCTTCAGTGTGCTACAAACAATGATAGCAGCAGCAGCAGCAGCAGCAGCAACGATGGCAAAAGAAAACACTGCCATGAAATGAATATATGGCTTTGGGATGGACAACAGAATTTCGTCCAATCCATTGCGTTACTATACATCCACATATTATATGGCCATTGTGAATGTGGAATGAAACGTGGCACCGAAATAAGAGAATAATGAATCGAAACGAGTCAACGTCAAACACACATCACATTGAAATCTAAACGAAAATTTCTCCCTGATGTTGTATGTGTGGCGGTGGCCATTCATTCGCTATGCACAAAGGAATAAATAGCGATTTCCGTATGATTAAAGCGATGTGCATTGAATTGGCCAGTTGGTATTTCGAAAAAAAAACCGGCCAAATGAACAATTGTTGTACGTTTTTGCTCTCGCTCTCTCCGGTTTTTTTTTGGCTCAATGTGTCCGTAACGCATAGAAGCAATACCCAATTATACGAGTGTGTGTATAATATATAGAATATGTGCCTGATGTCAAAACATTTATTCAGTCATTTTTGTATTTGGTAATGTTATTACCGCTGAAATGTGGTGTTTACACAAAAATATGCTCAAAGTTACATCATAGAGCAACAACCAACACCGGAATAACGGAATATATACAAATAACATGCGTGTATATATATATATATATATATATATATATATATATATATATAGAGAGAGAGAGAGAGAAAAAAATGAAAGATATACAGTAAAACGTTACCTAATGAACTCAGTGCGGTCTCTTCAATTACAGCCAAACTGCTATTGTGTATGGTTAAATGTCGAATATCTAGTGCGAGAAAAACGAAACCTTGCAGCTTGGGTAGATTGTTGTGACGCAATTTTAAATAAAATATGATCGGATTTCTCTGCTTGAGTTTAGTCATTGCATGATTGATGTGACTGATGTCGGTGGTTTCGCACAATATATCCAGTCCATTCTTTTTTACGCTGCATGAGCAGGGCGCTATTTCACCAACCGTTGGGCATGTTTGCTGCGGTGGTTCTGCCATCACCATTCGACCAATTAAATTATCGCTTGTACCGATAAACCCAAGGAGTGCATACAGCACGCCAAGAGCGGCGTAATTTACTGACGGCATCGCTTAGCCGTCCGTCTATGCTAAATTCTCCACGGCACGGTGATTGTTTTTACGGAACTTATCTGCAACGAAATTGAAAATAGGACAAACAATAAGAATATGATGAAAACGGCATTTTATTTGCTATTCGATGGGAAACAAAACGAAACAAGAGAGAAAAAAGTTGTCGACGAAAGCTTTTCGCCAAGTAAGAAACAAAACAAAAAATGGTAAATTTGTTTGGACCGAAATTAATCTTATTGTCTCCTGCTGAGTAGTACAACGTCTGGCTAGTGATACAACGAATTTTATCATAAATTTCCTTCATGTGCCGCAAATGATTTCGGCAACTGTTCGACGAAATTCAATTAATTCAAGGAAACCATTTATATATAGTCAGCACTTCGACACACAACACAATACGGTAAAATCAATGACCGTCTCAACATCGCGTTTAATCCCGGGCATGTCTGATTGCATAATCAATCGAATGAATTCACGCTTAAATTTAGCCACTCAACAATTGCCGATAATGCAATTAAAATCGACGAACGAAAATGCTTGCGAATGACTGCGTTTTGGTTTTTGGGGTTTCTGTGGTATCGCAAATACGACTAAATGGCTGAAAAAGCGAGAGAGTTGGAGAGAGATATGTTCAAAATCTGTACACATAATTTGAAATGTGTATGCTACTCGGCAGGTTGAAGTATTGATAGAGTGGCGTCGATACGTTGAAATTGAATGTACTCTTCACATTCGCCCTTCAGAACAAAATGTGTGTATCGATTTTAGTTTTGTATAGGATCGCATGACATTCGGTTGATATCATTATGCTCTTATGCGTGCAAATACACGCTCTCTATTGTACGTGTATGCTATGGCACGGTACTTCCATGTTTTACATTAGATAAACCGTGCTTAGTGTACTATCGATATCGATTTCCGGCTATAATCCATCTTGAACCAAACTTTCTCTCACTCTAACTGTTCAAATTAACCAATCGACTTGAGTATATCGTAGGTTCAAACTGTTGTCAACTCATATCTCTGAATAATGTCATTTAGTTCGAACAGGAATAACCGAAAAACACAGATACACACCACATAGCCACGTTAAAACGATTGTTTAATGAGAATCAAGTACTAGTTTATTCTCTACTTCCATCAATGATTTTATTTGTTTGGTTGGTGAATCGATTTATAGTTTCCCGTTGGGGCTTGGGCTGAACGTTTCCAAACGGGTACAAATATAAATACCCACTGTTGCTAAGTCAGTAAATTTATATTTAGCTAATGACTAAGCAAATATTGATTCAGGCGCATAGCAGCTATCACATCGTCCGTATGGATCAATTAAACAATGGGCCTCCGTTAATCACTTGACCATTATATTTGATGTGAAAGTAAAACCAAAAGGAATTTTCCCTTGAGTTAAAAGGTACTTGATATCACAATGTATCTGTTCAACTTCACATTTAGTCGAGGGGCAAATCACTCTTAGGTATTACTTTTACATAAATGGTATTACTTGGTATTACTTTCCGTACAAATCAAAAGTAATACCAGGTGTATTACTTCTATTGATCAGTATTACTTGGTATTACTTGGATATTACTTTTTTCGGTATTACTTTTTTCATAGAAATATCAAAAGTAATACCAGAGGTATTACTAGAAATAACTGAGGTATTACTTTTCTATTTGGTATTACTTCTGAGTGATTTCCCCCTTGCATTTAGTTCTTGAGCTTTGGCTGTCGTAGACTAACTGTCAGTTTCTTGGACTTTAAGCCTAAAATCGCGGCTTGAAAGGTTGGTGGCTGATGTATTTGTAGTAGCACCGCATTTCCATAATCTGTGTATTTGAAGTTCGATGATCTTTTCGAGTTCGGTGTGTGTTCAATGGAACTAAATTTTGGCCCATTGCCAACATTTCAATGAATTTCGAAGTCCATATTTAACATATGCGGCATTTTAATTTATGGAAATTTAACATAATGCCACATCCAGCCACTGTCTTCTGATTAATCATTGTCTATTGTTCTTGTCATCAAATCTTTTGGTTCATCACCAATTAAAATTGATATCGCATTGTTGCGAATGCTTACCACTTCGACACAGTTCAGCGAACATTATTCTCAGTTCACTTGATTCGCGTGGGTTTCAACATCAAGAGCTGGTGAATTAAACTGGCATCGCGGACTATCTGCTAACCACAAAAATATCTTTTAACAATTTCACCAGAAGAGAACATGGACTGCTGTTGATAAATTGACATTACAATCGCACAGAACAAAAATATAAGCCTATGAAGGATTACGAGAGAAAAAAAACGGTGGTTTCACTCTGATGAACATTCTTTTGAAGTTGGACAAGTTTCTTTATCTCGATTTCGCACACGACACAAATCATGGGTGCACGACAATTTGTGTGTGTGTGTGTGTGTATGGCGAATTACGATTAAAAACCACTTGTCACGCTACACTTTTACAACTTCGAAACAAAATGTCCATCCTATAAGTGTCGGTATCATTCGATTGCAAATGGTTAGTTTAGTTTAATCCATTCAATATAATGTCTAAATGCTTTTATATGCTCTCCGAAATGGTAAACGATAAACTGGCCGGCGAGTGCTATAGCCACCAGAGAGAAAGAGAGAGAAAGAGAGAGAAAGAGAGAGAAAGAGAGAGAAAGAGAGA